TAATATATACAAAAAAAATAAATAAATAAAAAATAAAAAAAATACGAGTAGTAATTTAAGACATCGTTGGATTTGTTTCAATAATGTGCTGTTTAGACGAAGTAATATCAACTTTATATATTTTTTGTCAACATATTGATGGTCAAATACCGCGTAAAGTGAAATAGACATTTAATTTGGGGATGGTGTGAGTTTTATGTAGAGTTTTATCTTGCAACTTTGAATTATATGTTGATTATTTAGCATTAGACTCATCTCATGATGTTATCTAAATTCCTTTATGTAATTGTGCATAGCCTGATTTTAAAACTTGGATACGCCACTAATCAAAGCAACCCCAGCCACAAAACCACCAACCCAGACCACCCCCACATAACTACCAACCACCCACGCACATAAGAAAAATCACCATCATCTTCCCACAAAAAAAAAAAAAAAAAAATCACCATTGTCAATGACACCGCCAGTCCACCACCACCACCTACCTCTACCTGCTAGCCTAGATCCCCTGCAAAATTACCACCAATTAACCCATCCATCTCCATAGCAAGTTTAAAACCCACCCACTCAACCACCACAAAATCGTCACCAAGAACCTACCCATCGACAACATCGTAATAATACACCCCCATCAACAACCTTTTCGAAGCCACCAAGGCACCAACTCACCCCTACTACAACCCACCTGCCCATGCTAGTGAGGCCACCATAAAGCCCCCAGCACAATAACCTTATCAACCTTCGCCTAGAGAAATTTATGGCCATATATGATATATAGAAGAGGAGGTTAAGCAAAGAGAGAGAAGATGAGTGGCCATCAATTGGCCATGGTTGCGGGATAGCGGAAACGTTGGTTGCCAGTTTGAGTGTTATGGCCATGGATGGAAAGTAGTGGAGAGAGAGAAAGAATGGGAGTTACAAGAAAAATGGTGGTGGTGGAAATTCAAGTGGTTGACTGGTGGTTATGTTGTGGAGACGGAGGACGAAGTTATGGTGGTTATGGCGTAATAGGGCAAAATTTGAAAATATTTTTTTAATTAAAAAGTTTACCGGTTCAACAGGTAACAAGTCACACTAGACTGTTTTGAGAGAACATAAGTATAGTTGGGTCTGTCCAAACTTAATTAATAGGTTGGCCCTTTTAAAGAAGATCAGTAATAGTTGGAACCTTTGTTAATTTTTCCTAATAATAAAGTAACATGATTTGACCCCATTATATTAGGAACAATATGAGTGCATAACAAGGACACAAAAGAACAGTCCACCAGAGGCCTTATATTTACGTATGCAGAGTTTGCAGACAAGTAGAAGTAACCCCTTGATAATTATTTCATTTGCCTCTAAGTAGGGTGAGAGTATACAACTATAACAGTAAATAATTCTACAGAAACTTTATTATTTTTGGCCTTGTGGGTAACACAATACTATAAGCACTCTAGTAATCTTTTGCAAACTAAAGGCATCCCTCCTGAAGATATGTGGCATAATTGCATATTTGCACCTACCTCTCCAATGGTCAATGATAAGTGAAGCAGTCATCAATTCCCTGCCACTCAACTTGCGTTTGCAACTTAACATAGTATTTTGCATTTACCCAAAACCAGATTCCTTTCTGATGCCCAGGTTCTAGACTTAAAGTGGGATATATATCAATCCAGCACATGTATATCACCCTAATAGCACGCTTAGGAAACTGGAGATGGACACTACCCTTTCACATTAGCTGTGCGACACATGCTGATGCTGTCTCACCTCAAGCGAGTCAAGATTACTTGGCTTGATCTAACAAATTTTCTAAGTGAATCAAATAAAGGACACTGTAATTTCTAATGTTCACAAATCCCAAGGCTATTATATGGGCTTACACAAAGTCAGGCCAGAAGTTTGAAGACAAAAGAACCTTAAGCATCCAAATTGCTAGCTTTTACCAAGCAAATCATTCTAATTCAAAGAAAACCAAATTCTCAGACCTTGTGTATTACCTAAAACTTGAACGCATACACAATTAACAGTGGATTAGACGCAAGGAAAATTTGACATAGTAATTGGCGGATTGATAAAGGTAGCTGTATCAGGTTCAACAAAAAAAATACACATTCATAAACCAGAGAAACAATAACTTACTCTTTTCAGAAGATTAACTCTATCTTGCAACCCATCAAGTGCTGTATCATTGTCGTGTTCGTCAATTTCATGAGAAGAATACGAGGATGAGGCCCTGATACCTCCCTCCTCAATGCCATCGAAAGCAGAAGTTCTAGATCCTCTATAATCCCTGGATACAAACAAGAAACCATAGGAAACTTTAGCTGTAGATGTAAAGCACCATGAACAGTGAAAATCATTCTGCTACAAAGTATGGAGATCAACATCTAGACAAAAAGGCAGCAATGTTACAAAGATTTCTTGGTAACTTTTGCATCTCAAATAGTTCATAGAAGTATGCATTAGTGTCTAGAAGCAACTCAAACTCCCCGAGTATAAGCAAATTCTTAAGGCCGACTTTAAAACAGCACAACTATTGGATGCTGCATCTAGTTACATCTACTAGCCTCTAGCCATCTATGTTCTAAGACCTTGATATCTTTCCAACAAAATGCAGATATTTGATGCAGATTCCTTTATCTTTCCTCTGAGCTAACAGCACATCTAGCATTCCATTAATGTGCTACTTTATCGCAGATAGGAATATAGGATCACCTCATTTACCGTAAAGACATTTACTTAAGAAAGCTTTCACATACGCCATCACACGAATATACAGGTCCATAAGGCAAACAAAACAACAGTTTGGTTACAGAATATGCTTCTTTCTACATATACAGCTTCCAGCAGAAGGTTAATTGCACATTGTTAACTCTATCACTTGCAATCCTATCTAATAAATGACAGAACCTCACCCTACCAATGGCTTAAATATCAAAACAACGCCTCGATTAAGAAACTTTTGCGGTATTAAAGTTTGCAGCATTGCTAGGCAATTGATGACACATTGACACATATAAGGCCGCAATTAAAAGTTATAAATCACACTTCTGTAATTCAAAGCATCACCACCAATAAAGAATCGAGTACTATCAAAAATTTCACAATAAAATCAATTCTTCACTGATCAAACTATAGAAATGCAGGTAAAATTAGGGAAACTGGAAAACAAGCAATCGTATGAATCAATTGAACCAAAAACAACATCAAAAATCAAGAAATTAAGGATGCAAACCTTCTCGGATTCATGGTAAATCAATTAACGCAGTTTACAAGTGATCAAACTTCCAGTGATCTGAAAAAGAAAACAAAAAAAACGTGATTAACAACATAAATTGATGAAGTACTAGCGAAACATTTAAATTAGAAATTGATTAATAAAATTGGGGGTGAGATTTAGGGTTTACCGAAATAATCAGAGAAGAGTTGATTAGAAATGGAGGAGAGAGAAAATTGGGATCTTAAAAACGCAAGTTTTTTTGAAGAGGAAATTGAGGGAAAAGAAAGAGTGATGATGAGTCATTTACCTGAACCTGAGAATTCTCCTTTTTCGATTGATCCTCTGTTTATCCATTAAACAAATGCACACCAAAATTTAAAGGAAAGAAAAACAAGGGGATAGAATTGGAAGTTACTAGATTGCTCTTTACTTCTAATTGTAGGTGAACAATCCACAATTGCATTGGCTGGAAAGTAGAAATGGGTGAGGGTTGTGTAGGCTCGCGTTTCATGTGTGTATCTGGAATGATTCATTCAAAATAGTTGTTTTGCGTTAGGTTTATGTTGATCTTTTATAAATAGAGTCTATGCACGATTCGACCTATGTGCGATATTAGGTTAAGTCATGTTGTGACTTGTGACAGGCCAACGAGCCAATCGTCGTGTTCATGCCAAGCTTTGAATGATGTCAATGTACATTCCTTGGCCTATAAATGTGTCGCATCATTTTCATGTCAATTTGGCCCATGCTTAGCTCGCTCTACCCGAAAGTGCACTAATGGATCAAAGGAGTTAAGAGGAAGGGGGGAGGCGCTAAGGCTACAGTGATTGGTGAGTAATTAGTTATTATGAAGTCTTTTTGGTGGTTTGGTTATTGAATCCTCCAACCTAGTTTTGTGCACAAAAACATGAAAAACACTTCTCTTATGCACACTAACTAGCTAGGTGAAACTTCCTTTTTTTATTTTGAAAATTTTTCACATCCACTTCCTATTCTATTATGAATACATAGATTGATAAATCCATTTTCAAAATGCATCTAACTAAAAACCTAATTAAAAATGTACACATGGATACTGATTAAAGAAAGCACATGCAGAGTTGCTCATGCATGCCAACATAGGTTATATAGCATAGCCAAATGTCCTAACACAATCAAAGATCACCTCACCCTACAAGACTACAACAAAATATGTGCACTACTTAGCCCACAGGATAGGACTTTAGCTAACTAAATATTATTATATGATACATTTAGATCATGCCGTTGCAATACATAAATTCACTATAGTTGATAAGTTGATTACTCACAATATCACAAACAAAAGCTTGAATACCACATGACATAAGCCAGCACGAGGTTTGATTGCTCATGCTTGACTTTATATGTGAGAGATGGCTTTGTAGTCCACTCTGATTACCCAAAAACTATTTATATACACCAAAACTTACTTAAAACGATCTTAAAAGCGAAAGTAATAATGACAAATGGATTTTTGAAATTGAGGTGCATGTTAAGTTATTTATTGGGATGATTCATTCAATTTAGGTTTGAATTTGGTCAGATTACTTAGAGTTGATTATCAATAAGTTAATTATTGAAAATATATCAATTTCAACCATATTCAATATTGTGTTACATTAGTTTTTGAGTCATCTAGTTTCATGATATGTTAATTTAATCGAGTCTAGTAGGTCTATTTTGGATTAGGGTGATTCGATAGCATGGTGGCAAAATGACCTTTTTACCCCTCAAGTCAACAAATCAAGAGCATCACCCCACAAGTAAACTGTAAACCCTTCTTCCTTTTCGCTGGGTTTTGAAAGCTCCCACCTTTCCTTTCTTTCAAAGAAGAGAAACAGGACCAAGAGAAGAGGTGGAATCTGATTCTCCTCTCTTTCATCTTGTTCCTCTGCTAAATTGACTGCCATATTCATATCATTGTCTGGGTTTTTGTTTTAATTGCATAAAAATCTCAAAAATAAGGGTTTTTGTGAATTAAAACAAATGGGTTCATTTGAAGCTTCAGAAGAAACTGTAAAATTTCTATGCGAGAGGCTTGTGGATCAAACTCAACCCATTTCTGAGCGTTTCAGGGCTCTTTTCTCTCTCCGCAATCTTAAAGGCCATCTTCCTCGTGATGCTCTTATTCTCGGTATTTTTCTTCCTTTTCCTAAATTATTTATGGGGATTGAATTTGGATTTTGTTGGATTAAATTCATACAAATTTCATGGGTATTTTTGGGTTTATTCTAAGTATATATTTGATACAGGAATTAATGAACAAAAGCTTCTTTTTTTTTGGGATTTTTATTTTTGTGCAATTGTAGTGACAAATTATGTTGGGTTGTTTCCTGGATTAATTAATTTTATGATGCATTTAGTATGCTGTTTAAAGTTAAATAGTATCAAAACTAAGTAATGGTTGGAACATTTACATTCTATCAAGAATTCAAGATTTTAGGCATAGTATTGGCCTATTGAGACATACATGTTTCCCTGAACTAGATGTAGATGATTTCTGCTGTATACTATGAGCAAGGGGGAACTAAGAGCTTGTTTCGTGGCTCGAAAGTCGAAACCAATGATCATGTTGATATGAAGGGTACACATTTTATCCCTGTGCTTCAGCTTAATTTTAGTAAACCTGGTTTGGAATTGCCGGGGTTTGACGCCACCCGATTGAACAACTGCCCAAAGATTGGATAACTACAGAAGTTATATCATTGGAATTGCTTAACTTATCATCTCCTCCATGGTCAAAAGCTGTGTTGTGTATTACCGACCTTTTGTAATTGTTCTTTTGAAGAATTACTCTGCATTGTAATGTTAGCCTACTCGCTGGCATTGTTCTTAGTTCATGATCATGCCATCTTGTTGTTGCGCCTACTGGACTAAGCGTTGAAACATATGTTACATAAGGATTTACTGTATATGCTGTAGTATTCTTTGAACTGGGACCAGTTTAACAATAACATAATCGATCCTATAGATGATCTAAGTTGCCTTTAGAACTATCACATGTCAGTCAGGCTATGCAGTTTAAACCCCTCCTGTATGATGTGCAGGACTCTTCGGTAGCACTCATTTAATAAAAGGTTTCGTTTATCAAGCACACTCATGTTAGTGTTAGCTTTGCATGACTTGTATTTACCTTCCAACTAGTTCTGATATCTAGCAAGCAATTAATAATTTAGGAAACCACTATAGGTAGCAAAGCATGAGCGAGCTGAGGTGATATCTTGACAGTTCATTATGTCTACTATACACTAAGATAAACTTTTGAGCTTCTGGACTGTAACTTAAAGTTCTTTACATGTTTAGTGAATGGTTCATGACTTGGATATGGAAATAGGATTAGAGGATTTGGAGTACCGACCTCATAGGTTAGATTTGAAATTCAACTCTGTTAAGCTTAAATCTATGAGCAATTCAAGAACTATTATAGGAGTGGTTATAGAAAGATATGTGTCCATAAATGTGTGCCTTTTTTTTTTATATTTACAATCTGCTAAAGGGTGCAAGTGAAATAGTTGGATTTGTGTATAGCATATTACTTGGGAGGAAAATTTCTCTGAATTTTATGCAGTTGAAAGTAGCTCAAGACAGTATTCTTTCCTTAGCTCTCTTGATGAATTGACTTATATCTCTCATATCATTGGCAAAGAGAGGGGGGGGGGGGGGGGAGTGGGGTGGGCGGTGGTGGGTGGGGTGTTGACCTTCTGGGTACTCATAACTTGCTATTACAAAGTGTTAATATGACTAAATTGATGTTCTTATTTACATATTCCTACACTGCCCACCCTTAACCGTTTATTCTCACCATTTACATGCTTTGGCAAATACATGCATCATTGTATTTTAGTGGACTAATTTTTCTTGTCTGACTTCCATTTTGCAGCTACAAGAGATGCTTCAAATTTGTTGGCACACGAAGCAGCATTTGCATTGGGCCAAATGCAAGATGCGGATGCTATTCCTGCCTTAGAATCCATTCTCAATGACTTCTCTTTACATCCAATTGTTCGTCATGAGGTGAGTTACTATTAAGGATTGACTTGTCCTTTTTCTAGGATGTAATCCATCAATTTCTGATCCATCTGTACTTTGTCCATTTTATTCAGGCTGCTGAGGCTCTCGGAGCTATAGGCCTAGAGATGAATGTTCCTCTCTTAAAAAAAAGCTTGGTCTCTGATCCAGCTCCAGAGGTTAGAGAAACATGTGAATTGGCACTGCATAGGATTGAGGAAATGAAATATAATAAGTCTGAAGATAAAGGTCCATCTCCATATTTGTCAGTTGACCCAGCTGCCCCATCTTCTTGCTCTTCTATATCTGAACTAAGGTTTGTGTAATTTATAATAGTGGTTGCTCTAGGGCAAGGATGATCGCTAATCTTAATGTTTATTGTGCTGTTTCCATCTTCAAGAGATTTGCTCTTGGATGAAGGAAAGGGTATGTACGAGCGATATGCCGCCTTATTTGCTCTACGCAATGATGGGGGAGATGAGGCTATCTCTGCAATTGTTGATTCCCTGGGAGCCAAAAGTGCTCTATTGCGCCACGAGGTTAGTTATATACCGTAGCATTAGTTTGTGTTCAGCATGTCATTTGTCAGATACTCTTAGTTGTTACTAATACACTTAAGTCAATAGCTCTAATGAAAGTTATCTTGAACATACTCTAGCAGTACTTTGTGCTCAGCATGTCATTTTCAGATACTTGAGTGATAAATAATTCACATCAGTCAATGCCCTAGCTAAATATCTCTTGAACATAGATTTACAAACTCAGCCTGATAATTTCCTAGGCATCAGCTGTATGCTTAAGTGGTTGTTGGTACTCAAATAAACTTTCTGCCATCTGTATTACGTATGCATGTTTTATGGGTACCATGACCATTTTTGCTAATACTATGTGTGGGCATCTCCTTAATACTGGATGATTTATGCTTTTTCTTGAAGACAGGTCGCTTATGTGCTTGGCCAAATGCAAAATAAAGTTGCTTCGACCGCCCTTATTAGGGTTCTAAAAGATGTTGCTGAGCATCCAATGGTTAGACATGAAGCTGCCGAAGCTCTTGGCTCAATTGCAGGTATATGCTGGTAAATGAATTCTTTAGGTTGGAGTAAGGAATTTGAAAATACTTTATATGATATAACAACAATATGACATAGTAGAATTTGTTGCTTTTAAATTGAAGCTTTGAAAACTAGTCAATTTAGGCCTTAGGGTGTTGATTTTGGTCTGGTTAACTATTTATTAGTATGAGAACTTGAATGACTTGAAGAATTTTGCCCCTCCACTTGCCCTGCAACACGTCCCAGTTAGTCAGGAAGCTGCATTGACTTACTAGTGCTTTTGTGTTCAATTCACCTAAATTGGGTGTATTCTTGATCACTATATTCATTTGCCTGGTTTCCAGATGAAAAAAGTATATCACTTCTTGAGGAATTCGCCAAGGACCCTGAGCCTATAGTCTCACAGAGTTGTGAGGTCGCTCTCAGCATGCTTGAGTTTGAAAAATCTGGCAAATCTTTTGAGGTACATACACTAGTATATATATACGTGTCTTTAAGATCTAATCTGTCGGGTATAGAGCTTCTGATTCTTGAATTTTTGTGATTACAGTACCTCTTCATGCAAGTTCCTGTTGTTGGGGAAGCTGCTTAATCATTGGAAGGGCAACCTTCTAGGTCAGAAGCATTTTCCTATCGCTCCTTGAGGTTTATCATACTATATACTTGGTGATATACAAGATTTAAATTATTTTGACACTAAGAAGAGGGTTGTTTTGACCCGGATATCAAACCAACAGTAAATTGTAGAACACTAATTTTTGTGTAAGCTATAATTCTTGTGAATCTTAATGTTTTTGTGTGGGCGTGCTCGCAGGACGCTCTTCCAGTTATCACAAAAGTTTGTTCATCTTAATCTAAATGTGAATCTTAATGTTCTGATGGCTGGCTAGGACATTCGTCTCTTTCATTGTTTGCTTTGAATCTACCTAGGAGATTCATTGCTTAATTACAAGTAAATAATGTGAAATTTTTCCTTTTATCAAACAACCAAAGATTTCTCCAATTCCATATTTGCCAAATGATCATCGTGATTATTTCCAAAGCATTTCGAAATAATCACGATGATCATACATTTCGAATCCCAGCATCACCATTTTAATGTTCACTTTTAAAGGCACTTTTGTGTTCCAAAATATCCTCCAGAGTTGCTGACATTTCTCCATAAGAAGGGCTGACATCTAAGAGTGATTCCTTAAAGTGATTTATTTGTCACAATAAATTGAGAGAATGTCAAAGATATACGTAATATCTTACACTCAGGTGCACCTATATAAAGGTAAATTATTCTAGTTACTTGATAAAACTCAATAATTGTGATGATGTAATATTTTATTCAATTTTTTATATTTGGTTGCTTTGTGTTTAAATTATCTAAATTTAAAGTTTTTTTTGGCAAATAACTGTAAGAAAAAATGACTACTTACAACATAAAATAGTAGTAATAAAGATTTTCAAATTCATTTACACGAATACGACGAACCGACCTGTAAAAATAAAACAATTACCGAACAAAGTCATAGTAAAAAAGTACAATACTACGGAGAAATTCATTCTCTTTTCTAGGGTTTTTTGCTGGAGAAATAAAACAACTACCGAACAAATTCGATGATGATTATGGTTAATCCAATTTAAATTGAGTGACCTCACTCCACTCTCCACACAAAAGAAGAAAAAAAAAAAAAAAAAGCACCCTCAAAAAAATTTCAATTCTTTCTTCTTCCTTTTCGATTATTTAAATCATGAAAAATAGCGCTATAGAATATGTATCGAGTTCCATTTTCAGTTTTTCACCAATGCATTTGATCTATGACTACAAGTTCAAACTGCATTTTTATTTTTATGTTAATATAAAATTTTGTTACCAAGTAGTTGAGGGTTACATGACACAGTTTATGTTGAATAGGTCTTGTAGAAATTAATTTTACTTTTCTTGATTACATCAAATAATGTATTTTACAATGCATTATTGGACCAAATTAAACATCTCTTCTGCTATTAAGAAACAATCCATTATAATATCACGGTGAAAAGGGGGGTCGGGGTAAGGGGAAAAGAACATAAATTAAATACCTATTGTAATATTTGCTAATTAATATAATCGTCTAGTGTTTGTAAAAAAAAAAATGTACCTACGAATCCACTACTAGTGTAATTAATCATTTAGTGGTGATGATTTACTACTCCGATTAATGGTAATTTCATCAACAAATCTCACTTAAGGCCGTTAACGGCGGTTTAATTTGTGAGTGATACCAAAAAATTTAGAAAATATATATGCTACGAGATCACCTTTTGTTTAATTTTCAAGATCCCGTCAAAATAAAAATAAATAAATTCTAAGACACATATAATTAGAAAATTGATATGGAGTATGTGTTGTTATGTTGTCATGTCACGTGTTCCCTTTTAAATAAATTAACACTTTTTTTTTTTGAAACAAATCTTTTAAAACAATAATTAGTAAATAACTTGATACCATGCCATTTGCAAAAAATATATATATATATATGTGTTAGAAGATAAGTCTAATAAGTGAATGCCAATTATTGATTTGATTACACAATGCTCATATAGGTCCAAACACTTGTGAACTCATATGGCTCTATGTGAGTAATTATTGTATTATTAGTGTAACTCATGGCTATAAATACAATGCCATAGAAGTAAGAGTACAATAATAACACTACAACAATTTCACCCATCTTCTTTCACTCTTTTACTCCTTTTATTAATCAAAACTTTTCTATCGGTAAATTCTTTAACACGTTATCAGCACCAGTTTTCAGTCAGGTATATTTATACCTACTTCTAAAAATTTATAACAAATAATACTATCTACTTCTAAATGTTTCGAGGAGTATGCTCTATAGTTGCCCATATTTGGGATCCTCTATAACAGAAACTCAAACATTTACTATATATACCTCAAAAACAACGGTGAAAGTTCTCTTACTTGTGAATTTACTACTATCATCTTTTGTTTATTCATGTTGATGTTTCTTTGTTTGATCCATGTTGATATTACATACTCATTTTACGTAAATTTTTATCTTAGTTATTATAATTGCTAAGTAGTAGCTTTGCATGCATATTATTATTAACTAGATTAACAAAAAGATGCAGCCTTTTATACTTATTATTTTTCTTACTTTTACATACTTTTTGTGTTTCTTTCCGTTTTCGAACTCATGATCTTTTATAGATATTAGGGCTCTCGAACCACTATGGCTTGCATTCCCAGTGTGATAACCTTTTACAATTATAAATATATATATATGGACCATAATTTTATGCCAGTACGTTAGACTATTATATGATATTTTTACAGTTGCACAGAACAGTAACGGATAAACCTACCTCTATAAAAGACGGATTTTTCCCCCAATTTCACCACAAATCCCTTATCCCTTCCCACTTTTTATCCAAAAATCACCTAAAAAAAAAAAAAAATTCACCCCCTTCTTCTCCGATATGTTCCCCGACGACGGCAACCAAAACACCCAAAACACCCACAACTTCACTTTTGAGGAAGATTTAATGAAGATAAAACAATATTTCCTTCTAATTACGGCGCTTGTAATTTTATTAGTAGCAATATTAATTTTTGTCATTATGTATAAGTAAAACTCACTTATTTTGTCGTTTTAGTATATTAAAAGCTTGTTTTTGTTTTATTATGTATGTTTGTTGTTATTAATCATCATTGTATAATATTACCGTTATCATTATAACTATTGTTACTACTGTCATTGTTGTCGTTTTGCTGTTTTTTTTGCAACTAACATGATTAATTTTTGTCTAATCATATAATTACTCACAATAATAAACCAAGGGGGAGAAAAGACTATATTATTTATGGTTTATTATTATTAAATTTAATTATCACGTGTCTTATTAACTTAATTATAAATATGGAAGAACTAAACATGTGAGTTGTACATATAATTTGTTATTATAAACTAATTATCACGAAACTTGTTGTAGCTAAAATGGGAGACCTTATGAAAAGACAGTTCATCATCTTAGATTTATCTGGAAAGAAATTTATGGAATGGAAAGTGGACGCAATGATGAATTTGAAAGCTCAAGGCTTGGAGCACACTGTTAAAGAAAATAAAAGTCCCTCTGGTCAAACAACTGATACTACCACTTCTGCAATGACTGTTGCAAAACCTGTTACAGAACAAGATAAGGCAAAAGCCTTAGTGTTGTTAAGGCATCATTTACATGAAGGCCTTAAAACTGAGTACATGATGGTTGAAGATCCCAAAGAATTATGGGATTGCCTTAATGAAAGATTTGGACACCACAAAAGGGTGCTCCTTCCTAAGGCATTATTTGACTGGACAAATTTACGGTTCCAGGATTTCAAATCTGTAATTGATTATAATTCAACCATACATGAGATAGTGTCTATATTGAGATACTGTGATCATCCAGTTTCGGATGAACAGATGATTGAAAAAACACTCACTACCTTTCATGCAAGTAACATACTGTTGCAAGAACAGTATCGTGAAAGAGGTTTTAAAAAGTTCAATGAATTAATGAGTGTATTGCTTGTTGCGGAACAAAATAGTGAACTTTTGTTGAAAAATCATAACCTGAGACCAACTGGGTCTTTGGCCACTCATCATGAGGCAAATGCAACAAATTCCTATCCACCCGAGTCAAATGCTACAAGAAGAGGTGGACGTGGAAATTACAATGGCCGTGGAAAAGGCCGTGGAAATTATCGCGGACGAGGCCGAGGACGTGGTAGAAACAATTTTCAAAGAAACAGTAATTTCAAAAATTTTGAAAAACAGAAGGGACAGTCATTTGGAAGCCACAAACAAACTCTTTCAAAAGGAAAAGACACATGTTACAGATGTGGCATGACAGGACATTGGGGACGTACTTGTCGTACGGCCAAACATTTGGTAGACCTTTACCAGGCTTCTGTAAAAGGCAAAGAGAAAAATGCAGAAGCAAATTATGTTAATGAAGAAAATGCTCCATGTCCTACCCTTGATGTGTCCGATTTCTTCATGGACAATGCTGAAACTGGGAATGATTTCATTCTTGGAGAAAACAACAATGCTTAGGTTCCCCATCTACTAATGTAACATATGCTATGTTTTAATATATTTTCTTAGTTCCCGGTATTTTAAATTTCTAGTCATGTACTTTAAATCTTTATCATCAATAAAAGTTTGTATGATATTATTCTAAACTAATCTTAAATTTATTTTATGAAGATATGGATCTACCTGAAGTTAGTTCCGAATATCAATGCCTTTTGGACAGTGGAACAACACATACTATCTTAAAAGATAGAAAATATTTTTCACAACTAAAGTTGTTTCAAGCAAATGTAAACACCATTTCCGGGTCAGCTAAATTAATTGAAGGATCTGGAAAGGCTTGTATAATGCTTCCAAATGGAACAAAATTAATAATCAATAATGCTTTATATTCGAGTAAATCTCGAAGAAATCTCATAAGCCTTAAAGATGTATGCCAAAATGGCTATCATCTAGAAACAATGACGACAGATCAAAAAGAGTATATATGCCTCACGGCAGAAAAACATGGCAAGAAATATATATATGAGAAATTGTCAGCATACTCTTCGGGGTTATACCGTATAAACATACGACCCGTGGAAATCAATATGATATCTAACCAGAAGTTAGATGACAAACATTTGATTATTTTATGGCATGATCGTTTGGGACATCCAGCAACTGGGATGATGCAAAGAATAATAGCACATTCAGTTGGACATTCAATAAGAAATGTCAAAATTCCTCGATCAGATGAATTAACATGCTTTGCATGTTCACTCGGCAAATTAGTAATAAGGCCATCTATTAAAAAAGTTGCTACTGAATCCCCAAAATTCTTGGAAAGAATTCAGGGAGATATTTGTGGGCCAATTAATACGGCATGTGGACCATTTCGATATTTCATGGTTTTAATTGATGCTTCTACACGATGGTCACA